TAGCCAGGATGGTCTCGATCTCCTGACCTCGTGATCCGCCCGCCTTGGCCTCCCAAAGTGCTGGGATTACAGGCGTGAGCCACCGTGCCCAGCCCACCTCTCAGATAAATATATATATATATATTTAGCACGATCTCGGCTCATTGCAACCTCTGCCTTCCGGTGGTTTCAAGCGATTCTCCAGAGTAGTCCCAGCCTCCTGAGTAGCTGGAACTACAGGCACGTGCCACCACGCCCAGCTAATTTTTTGTATTTTTAGTAGAAACGGGGTTTCACCATGTTGGCCAGGATGGTCTCAATTTCTTGACCTCGTGATTTGCCCACCTCGGCCTCCCAAAGTGCTGGAATTACAGGCATGAGCCACTGCACCCGGCCTAGAATCTTTTGCAGGCTCTGCTTCTTCTCCATCACCAGGAATTGGATCCTCAAGATTCAACCCTGGCTTTTCTCCCTGGCACACATATTTCCTCTTGAGGCAATACCTCCCAAGCCACTGCCTTCATTCACATCTAGATCTCCATCAGATCTCTCTGCTCAGACAGAGGTGGGTCCAGGATCCACTGAGAAACATATGAGGCTGGAGGAGCAGGTGGCTTACTCGTGTAATACTAGCACTTTGGGAGACTGAGGTGGGCAGACCACCTGAAGTCAGCAGTTCGAGACCAGCTTGGCCAACGTGGTGAAACCCTGGCTCTACTAAAAATACAAAACATTGGCCAGGCGCAGTGGCTCACGCCTGTAATCCCAACACTTTGGGAGGCCAAAGTGAGTGGATCATTTGGGATCATTTGAGGTCAGGAGCTTGAGACCAGCTTGGCCAACATGGTGAAACCCCACCTCTACTAAAAATACAAAAATTAGCCAGGCACGGTGGCAGGCACCTGTAGTCCCAGCTACTCTGGAGGCTGAGGTAGGAGAATCGCTTGAACCGGGGAGGCAGAGGTTGCAATGAGCTGAGATCGTGTCACTGCACTTGACTCTTATACACATCTGTGGCGGGTGCCTGTAGTCCCAGCTACTCAGGAGGCTGAGGCAGGAGAATGGCGTGAACCCGGGAGGCGGAACTTGCAGTGAGCTGAGATCCGGCCACTGCACTCCAGCCTGGGCAACAAAAGAGACTCTGTCTCAAAAAAAAAAAAAAAAAAAAGAAGAAGAAAAAAAGAACCATATAAGATGCCAAATGGAAAGCAAGGACTGGGTCCTGGGATCACCCTGTGTTCTCTCTCATCTCATCCCGTCTGATCCCAGTTGTGCCTGTAGGCTCAGCATCCACTAGAGTCCAGGTCAAGTCAGACTGCACTCTGACGAGTGCTCCCAAAGAGTTCCATTTAGGGCATACTGGGCACCAGGAGGCAAAAAGTTAGGCCCTACCACCCCCAAAGGGAGCTAGGTACCCCATGATCCTTACCCCTAATCTCTATCATTTCCCCAGTTCTCATGTCTGGAAGGGACACAGCAGAGCCAGAGGATTGGACCTACCCTTCCTCGTTCTCCATTTGCCCTAACTTCTGAGTTGAACATCACCAGAGAGAGGTCTGGATATACTTGCACTGGTGTCATCCCTGGAGGATGGGCTCTCACTCTCTATGGAAGGGGTTCCTATTTGCACAGCTATGGCCCACCTGCACACAGGAGGCCAACACTGCTGGCTTTGGAGACGCTGTACAAGGCAACTGGTTGAATCGGTCCTGAGAGAGTGAACAGTCAATCCTCAACCATGGACAGGGCCAGAGACTGGACTCACCCACAGCTGGGGACTGGGGGTGTCAAGATGGGGCTTCCTGACTGCACCCCATGAGACCCTGGCCCTTGGGACCCTACTCTTCCTTTCTTTCCACCAGCAAAAAAAAAGGCTAGAAGCACTGACCCCAGAGGAACAGGAGATTTTGCAGTTCCTGCTAGATACCTTGGCTACACTTAAAGGCACCAAGGACCTCACCATCAGTGCTGAGGCTCTGGGAAGCTAAGAGGCACCAGATGAGGCCTATGGCACTGCTGGGTGAACTAGGCACTTGTCTTTAGGTGTGCCTGGACCCCTCTGTATAAGCAGGGAAAATACAGAGCAACTAGAGGATCCTGGGGTCACATGGGCAGGAAAAAGGGCTAGTACCCAGTCCCTAAATGAAGCATACCACCACCCACCTGTGATTGCCAATAGGCTTCCACCTGACCCTAACTACCAAATAAGGCACCACTGCAAGGGTCAAGGTCCAAGAGTTGTGGCAATATTTCTTTTTTTTTTTTTTTGAGACGGAGTCTCGCTCTGTAGCCCAGGCTGGAGTGCAGTGGCCGGATCTCAGCTCACTGCAAGCTCCGCCTCCCAGGTTCACGCCATTCTCCGGCCTCAGCCTCCCGAGTAGCTGGGACTACAGGCGCCCGCCACCTTGCCCGGCTAGTTTTTTGTATTTCTTAGTAGAGACGGGGTTTCACCGTGTTAGCCAGGATGGTCTCGATCTCCTGACCTCGTGATCCGCCCATCTCGGCCTCCCAAAGTGCTGGGATTACAGGCTTGAGCCACCGCGCCCGGCCTTTGTGGCAATATTTCTGTCTCCTGGCTCAGGCTCTGACCCTAGTTCAAATGCTCCCACTACCTCATCCATGAAACCAGGGCTCCCAGGATGGCTCCCAACCTGGACTTGGGAACCTGTGACTAATGGGACCTTCAGTCAGAGCTGTGGAGA